TTCCCTCAGGACTCTGGGATGCATCTCATCAGGTCCCATGGACTTCTGTACATTTAGGTTCTGCAGGAGGTCCCGAACCTGGTCTTCACTTACAGCTGGAGGGATTTTACCCTCCTGGTCTCCTTCATGCCATTCATCGACTTGGGAGGGGTGAGGAGAGAGGTTGCCAGTGAAGACTGAGGCAAAAAAGTTGTTGAATACCTCAGCTTTCTCCTCATCTGCTGTTGCCAGTTCGCCGGTCTCGCTCATGAGCGGGGGTACGCTTTCTTTGACCATCTTTTTTCAGCTGACATACCTGTAGAAGCCCTTCTTGTTATTTTTCACATCCCTTGCCAAGTTCAGCTCCATGTACAATGAACAGTTTGTTCATTGCTGTAAAAATTATCTAAAATTGCTTGTCTAACAAAGGCAGAAGCACTACAGGGGATACAGTGTACTTCAATATTATTTGTTAAGTTCTAGCATCTTCTAATTGGAACAAAAAGTTATAGACAGGACAAGAGAAGACAGAGATACTTACACAACATATTTCTAATTTTCATATTATTCACCTCCAAAGAAACTGAAGGACCTGAACAAACCAGTAAAAATTCCTCACTGACTTTAAATCTGACTTTGTGTTTTGAAATTTTAGTTGTAAAAAAGGAGTTAAAGCATGAAGTAACTTTTCCAGCTATTACCCCTTTTGCCAGAACAAATCCATTTAAACATTCCATGAAGCTATTACTGAAGAATCAGAGAAGTAACTATTTTGATTCCGCCTGAAATCATACACAAAATTAACAGCTTTAGCAAGTTGTGACGACTTACGAAAAAAATTCAGTCCATTCCCACTAAGCTTGAGAGGAAAAAAAACCCAACACGTTCCAAAATAACTTCCTATAATACAACGAAAAATAAAAATTAACTAATAGCGTACAAAGTAATAAAATACCTGAGGTGGACTATAACAAGTGTTATCACATCAAGTACACAGTTGCTGCATTAAATACCTGTTTTTAAAAATCTGTTAGGTCCACTGTGTTACCCAACCCCTAGCCTACGAAGCAGCCAGCTGAATAATTCTGTGCTCTTAGCTGTCCATGAAGACTTCCCAACGATAAACTCCGAGCAGTTTTCCACAACCCAGGCCTTGCTGTGTTCATAGCAAGCTGCGCAGCTGTGAACACCATTGCCCATTTTCTCACTTACATTTTGAAACATTTTATTTTCTTCCTTTAGCCTTGTATTTTTATTATCAGATAACTTGTAAGCCTTTTCAAATGCTTCCTCCAGATCTTTAAGCCTCGATTTTAGTCGACTGATAGTGTTATCCTTCTCTTTATTATTTGTGCGCATTTCTTCAATACGCTCTTGCAAAACTTTGGAAGTATTGCTGACTGCATAAAAGCGTTCTCTCCAATCTGCCTGTAGGAGGAAAAAACCCACATTCATTATAATGCTTACCTAGCAGACTTATTTTAGTACAAACCATAATCTAAAAGTTATCTGCACAGAAAACAAGAGTACTTCTGTACATGAACTAAACAAGAGTTTTGCTCCTTTCTGTGATGTATAAAGAATGAAAACGAAGACTAAAAACCCAAAAGATGTATTTATTTTATAGGATTTAAAATATCTAGGGGTTAGGCCTCTAATCCCAGCTGATTGTCTTGCTTCCCAGCACAGAAAAACGTCTAAAAGAGGTGGAATGAATAAGTCTCTCCAGGTGTCTAACTTTTCATGACAGAGTGTCCTGTTCTTTGACCAATAAACGCAGCTATATGATCATAAGCAAACTGGTCTGACCTAGCCAGAAAGACTGCATAAATGCACTTAGAAAGAAAATATTTGTGCCCTGGTGCAGATGAGATTTGCTTTTATTACAGCTTTAATGAGAAATCAAAGAGAAGGTAACTGAAATAAAATTATTTTTTAAAAAAATCCAACGAGAGACATCATAAACACTTCACAATATTTCACTCAAACTGTGATCCCTGATGACCTGGAAAGGATGTTCATAAGCAAAAGCGACGACAATTCAAGTAGAGAGTCGTAAGGCACTCAAGACAGGAAAGTCATCAGTGTAACATATTGGCCAATGTCACATATTAAGGAGAAAAGTTGAAAATAGAAATATGGAAACACAGATCAACAATAATGAACAGGTGCACTCCCTTTTATTTAAAAAGCAACTCGAATTAAGAACATATACTTACCACTTGCTTCTCTAGCGTATTATTCTTATTTTCAAGGGCTTTTATGCGAGCACTTGCTTCATTCAGAGCCGCGTCTAAGTGGTCACACCTATTTAGAAGACACAGGTTACAAAACCTCTTGAAATTTTCAAATAATAAATCTAAATTTTATAGCCTTCTTTCCTTCCTCCAGCATCCCCACAAATTTTGGTGCCCAGCTTGTGCCCTCTTCCCACAGTCTTCAGCCCTTGCAGTGAGCACCCAGCGTCCCTGCGTGGAAGGGCTGTGGTGCTCGCGGTGGGCAAGCAGCAAACCGGGAACACGGGCAGGGACTCCAGGCGGCTCAGAGCACGAGAGCTGCAAAACCAAAAGCAGCAAGGTGCACCCAAGCAGAGTTCCACTTCAACTAATTGATGATGCTGTGTGATAATTAATGACTGAAATCACATCGCAAGCTACTTTAACTGAATAAATGACTGCTCAGAAGTCACTTTTAATAGAACACTTTAGTGCTGGAAGGTAAGTACAGGAGTCCCAACTACCCACACACTTCTTCAATTATTCTGAAGGGCATAAATTTCGTCATGTACTTTAGCTGTCTAAATTTACAATATGTATTTTGACTGGCAATAATAATATAAAAATCACATTGAACTTCCACATGCAGCAAACATCCAAGCTGTATCTTGGAATATACAGGTGAAGCACACAGACTCCAGTAGTAGTATCTGGTCAAAGAGCACTGACTGGCAAACTGGCTTTATAAAGCTACTAATGAATTCAAGACTGGTCCTGTATCATCTGTAGTTTTGACAGGCCTGCCAGCTTTTCTTGAGCAAAACTTATATTGGCTTCAGCAAAAAATCATGTCAAACAAGACCTCTGGTCCAAACATCGCACTTGCTGCCTAACAGTAATTTTAAACTGATCTTAAACAGCTGCATTAAATAATGCAAAATTTAGATTTAACAGGAAAATATTAGTACCATAGATGCATGAAATCTTCAGAATTTGAGTGACATAAACTTTTCAAGACATTCTAAACAAGCATACTCAGTTTTCAAAGTGGAACACATACCATGTAGCAGAGGAAGAGTACAAGCAAGGACAAACAGTACCTGTCAGCAAGACTTTGATTGATTTTCTTCAAGTCCTCCGATGAAGCAGTTTTATGGCTTGCCTCTAGCTGCTGTTTTAAGCTATGTATCTCAGAGTCATAGTAAGCTCGTAGATCAGCTATGTGTCGAGCGTGTTTTTCCCTCAGGTTTTGCCTAATCCTATTTTCAAAATTAAGAATAAAAAAAAAGTTCCAGCTATTCACATGACCATGCACTGCTGTAGTCATTCACACAGAATGAAATCAGCATATAAATTTCTCTTACAGAACTTTATTACATTCAAATTAAAGCAAAGAAAGCTTTGTCATTGAAGACAGTGGTGTCAGAGGTGTCAGACACCAAAGGCTGCATAGAAGTCTTCATATTCATACAGATATTAATAATAGATACAGATACAACACAAAGCTTTACTATCTTCTCTCCTTTGCTATGCACTAGAAACTATGCATGTAAAACTAAAATAGGAAAACTCAAAGCACTGAACTATCTTGAAACCATGCCCCTGCCATAAGCCCTCACACAAGGAATACATGCCGTTTTCTGCTTGTCCATTTGCAAATCACGAGAGCTTCAACAGTGAATGGGGGATATTTATTTTTCCTAAGTACAGTAATTCTGTGCTTCTCCTACCATCTGACTCTAAACAGGAAAATATAACCCCCACAGAACTTTTAAATTCTCTGCCTAAATTAACTTTCTTAATACAGCCTACGAAGGAAGTATGTATCTTTATTTTAACGTAATAAAAACAGCTCAAAGAAAACATAGAAAATTGTTTTGCCTTCCAGTTAAGGCTTTGACATCCAAGGAAAACCGAGCACAAATATTATGCCTTAGATTAAATAGCATGGTCTAAAGAAGACCAAATCGTACGGTCTAAAGACAGACAATTATATGAAGTAGAAAATGACTGTTCTATCTATATATCATCTGTACTTCCAGGGAGAAAACAGAAAAAAAAAAAAAAAAAGGAAAAATAAAAGGCTGTGTCCAGCTATGTTCTAAGCAAACACAACTCACATATTTTGTTCATTTTACTAGTATTGTTAAGTTTCACTTCTTTCATGAAAGTACCGACTCTACGACTTTTTTAAAAGAAAAAAAAAAAAAAAAACAACCTTACTTTGACATTACCACAGGATCTTCAACAGATGTCACTGAAAGACTACATTCTGGCAAACTGTTGTCAGCACACTGAGTAATAGAAGATGGAGTCAGAGTCAGTGTTTCTTCCTGCTCAGTGTTGACTAAATTATCATTATTAGCATCCGTATATGCCATTGGAAAAGGACAGCTGGTTTTGCTTTCATTCTGGAATGGTTGATTTCTCCAGAGGTCCAAACGCACAGCTCTGCTGCTGGCAGGATATTTTGGAGAATCATCTAACTGAGATGAATTACTTGTATGTGAAAAAGAGTCTGTGTCACAATGACTTGAAAACCCGGGCTCCGCCATAGAGTCTGGAGAAAAAGGAGAAGTATCTTCAGGAATGCTGAAAAAGCAGCGTCCTGGGTTCTGCTGACCTGGTTTCATATGCAGGGTTGGGTCCAAGGTCAAGATCTAGGAAATAAGTTATAAAGTTAAAAAAAAATTTGTGATTCAACTTTTGTTCTTGTAAATGGAGTTTGTATGAAGACATTAGTAATCCACATAATGTATTGCAGAAATTATATTAAATATTACTACAATCACTCATTAGTGACAAGCAAGGTGCAGGGACCTGTAACAGCTTCGATGATGATACATATTCCCAACATTTACAACTTGAGTTTAAATTTCCATTAAGAGTAAGAGACATATCTTTCATCTGTAGCTCTCTAGAAAACCTCTGCAATTTCAGTCATGTAAATAGAAGGACTTTGATGTCTGCTTGTAGGTTAAAACAATAACTTGGTACGGTTACAAAAATCACTTCATGGATTACAGACAAGATAGTCACACAGTAGTCATCATCACTGGATTTTGTACAAAACTTCAGGCTGTATAAAGAAACAGATATGATAAAGAGTATTCCCACAAACTGTGTCTCCTCTGTTTCACAGGTGGAATTAACTCGTCTTGTAGGAAGTAGTAAGAAAACCCTGCTTCTGTGACTGCAGTTCTATGTGCTTTTCATCAGCTGCAGCCTCAGCGTAAGCAGATTCGCCCCTGCGCCATCCTCAAGGTTGTGCAGCAAAGGTCCTTGCTTACCCAGGGTATTCTTAGAGGTTCTTTTCAGCTGGATGCCTTCCCAGTCTGGTTCATCACATGGCTGCACAAATTGCTGTTCCAGCGTAACACTGGAGGTGGCAGCAGGGGCCAATTAACGTGAAACCAGCCTGTAACTGATCATATCTTCAAACTGAGACGTGAAGTAGAGAAATTAACGTTACCTCTGGTGGGTGACTTGACTGGGAAGAAGGCATAAAACTCTGGTCTGGCAGCTGCTTGTTCTCCCTTTGTCTTTTATGATAAATATCCTTCAGTGACGACAGCTTCATTTCATCAGCAGCAGACAACTTCAACAGGGAAAACTGCTACATTAGTTTATCTGAACACAATCCTCCATTCCCAATGTAGATAAACAAGTTGTGGGGTGGGTTTAGCTAATAAATCAGTTCAGAATAGAAGGCAGCTTCATTCAATACACCCAATTTTACAAAGGGTCTTTAATGAGGCACAAACATCTTTAATACACTACTTAGTCTCCTTTCAGCTCCTACACAATTTCTTTTAAATAACAAAAGGTCAATAAATGCCAAGTGACTTTAGCAGGAGTAAATGAATAACAAAGGAACAGAATATGAGAGACTGAGCTAACATAAGAGTTCTCACAGGAAAGTTAGCTTCCGGAGTGCTGATTCTTTCCACCACAGAAAAAAGCAAAGATGACAAGCAACTATAACACAAATTTTTAAAAATGTGCAAAGTTTACCTGATCTGGTGATACTTTTGTGGAGAAAACATCAGCGAACTCACTTCTAAAATTCTCTGGTAAAGAGTGATACATCTCCTTTTCATCTAATTTCCAGTATGAAAGTCCTGATAGAAGAAACAATTAAAGGGAAAAAAAAAAAAAAATTACAGATTGCAACCTCACGACTCTAGAACAGGAATCCCAAAATCCACTAGTAAGATGTTACTTTGTCAGCTAACAAGAATGTTGTATTAATTATTTGCATCTGTTGCTTAAGAATCTCACTAAAGCATTTGTTACCAAACATTACAAAAACCTCAATGCCAAGCACAAGCAACATAACCAGTACGACATCACGGAGCATCAGTAACGAAAGCTGTAGGTCAGTGAAAACATATGGATTTACTCTTTGGTGGTCAAGGAACAAATCCTCATTTACCATAAACTTTTATACTCCTACTGATTCCAGTATAGCACTTAAAACTTCTATTACCGAAGAAATAATCCAAGACAGCCACTTAATAGTATAAACTCTTCAGTTCGACACTGAGCAGCACTCTGTAGCATGCAAAAAGTCAGACTACCAGGACTAGGAAGGATGGCACAAGAGAAACAAGCACAGTCTCAACCCCCTTCAATTTCTTGTATGTGTCCCCCTCTCAACGGGTTGTGAAGAACCAATAAATATACACAGTTTGCAGGGCTGCATCTCTGTGCCCCTGTTTGTTACTGAAATGAATCCACCCTGTTACAATCAAAATAAGTACATTAGCTGTTTGGCTTTCACAAAAAAAACCCCACACAACACCTAAAGCCACCACAAACCACCACCAGCCACCCCTCACACATACCCCACAACAACAAAAGCAAAACCATACCAGAACACAAAAAGCCAACACCTCTCCACCTTCCATTAAAGAATCACCAAATCACACACAGCATTATTTTGCTCTCGCCTATTCACACAGTTCTTGGCTTACAGGAATTCTGCCTCTATTACCAGGCACTCCTGTGATTACTATACCAATGAGGCTAGTATTTGAAAGATCATGTGATACCTCACCATGATTTTAACATTAATTACATTATGAAACAGTTTTAAGTACAAAGCTCAGCTTTGAAACACTGAGAAATTTGAAGAAAAAAAAATTGCTGCATGTCCTACATCTGCCAGCAGTGATACACAGAAGGTACCATCACTTTGAAATGCAAGAGCAAGCAGAATTATGCTGTATCAAAGTTTCACAGATTATCAGTGCTCAAACCCCAAAAGCTGTTGGAGATGCATTCTAGTAATATTTTTTTTAAAAATGAGAATTCAAAGGAGAATAAATTTAAGTACAAAAAATTAACTATACCTGAAGCTTCAGACACTACAGAATTCGGACTTTCACTTGGTTGACTGAGGTAAAAAGTGTAAGGTGGCAAAGCAGCATCAGTACAGTTTGTCTACAATCACAAAGGAAAAACAAATTTATATGGAAAATCGCAAGGCAAGGAAAAAAATAAGTCAAGGGTACACTTTAAAAAAATTGCATGTAGATGTCAGTAGTCTTTTTAAGCAAAGAGATTAAATTCAATTATACATCATGATCCAAACCCACACAATTTATATTCAGGTCAATCACAGCCAAAAGGGGAACTAAGCTAAGCCACAGAAAATATCGGTATCTTTTAATTATAAGTCATGTGCCTGCCTGCTTGTGGAGCATTTTTGAGATTAGCTATTACAGAAATACACATTTTGGACAGACTTCTAAACTTTCTTGCTCCTTAAAAGGTGCAAGTATATCGAGGGATGAGTTACCAATAAAGTGTTACTCTTTCCTCATCCTAAGATTGGAATTTCTGATACTCAGCCGTGCGACTCCACCTACCACAAATCTGGAGACAAACGCTGTCTGCCATCTCAAATAGACAAGACACTCCATACCCTTCTTCACATCACTCCAAACTCTCTAAGCAACCTCCCCAGCTAATTATAGAAACAACTTTGAAAAGGGTGGGACCAACACATGGAAAAAACAATTCACATAATTTCAGATTTGCTACAACTCTCCTCTTCCTTAATCAAAGGAAGAAGCGTCATTGCTATAACACAGCCATACAAGAGCAACTGAGTAAGGGTAGCCAGCTTTAGAATGGTCATCTCATATCGCTCTTTTCTACCGTACTCTGGGCTTTTTGTTCCATTACAGCAGCTTAACAGTCATGCTACGTGGCAAATTTATACAGCTCGTACAGCTGAGGACTAAAACAGGATAGCAACCATTGAGTTAACAAAAGTAAGAAAAAAAAAAATTTAGAACTAAAGCTTTTCAGGTTCTTGCATGAAGTACCATCTCACCTCAAGGCTATTTTGTCCCTCTTAATGTTTTTATTTAGGTATTCTCCTTTGCCTAAGGAGGAAGAAAGGAAAATGAAGGAGTATCAACTGAATTCTTACAAAGGAACAGAAAGGTAAAGGTATTTTCAAAATGTGAGTCTCTGGCACCAATTTCCTTTGGCACCCTGCTGTAGCAGAGAGAGAAAAGAAACAATCCACAGTAGATAAATTTGATTCCTGGTTTGAAATATCCCCTTAGAGGAACATGTTGTTTCCACTGAAAATAGAAGATGACTAAAGAGAGCGAGCCCAAACAGCTACTCTCACCCTTCCTGGATCACCCTCAAAGTGACCACAGCAAAGAAAACAGACCCTGCCTTGAATCAAGTGATTTGTATTTGCTAGTTCTATCCTCTTCTAGGCAGAGCCATTCACAGAGTTTCAGGAATTATTCCCTTAAAAATAGCATGAGGAGAGAGGTTTGCGACAATTAATATACTGAAAGTAATTCTAAAACTTCATATTTACTTGTATGACAACTACTCACATAATTATGTTGCATAATGTCCTTCTGGATCAGAAATACTATATGTGATTAAACTTCCCTCCCCAATATAATCAGTTTTGTGACACAATTAACTCAAGAATACGGGGGGGGGAACACACACACACACACGACACAGGAACCAAATTCTTCTCAAAAGGAGTCTGTTGAGCTGATTCAGCAGACACAGCAATGGGCATTACTACAAATGGTTCTAAAGAGCCAATTAGATTTCCTAAATGTCTGGTGTGGGGGCTGGTTACTTTTAGTAACCACTGTTGTAACTGTGCTTGGAGTAGTTCAATTTAGCCAAATCAGTCATACACAGGCATGAAAGAATGTATTATTCTTACACAAACAATAGAAAAAAGAAAAAGAAAACAACAAAATGTTTGGATTTTAGTGTACGAGACTGCTAGGAACACCAAAAAAGCCCAAAATAAACTAAACCAAAAAATCCCTGCAACTTAAAATCCCACTCTGGAAGAATACTATCTGTCCTGAATAAAGAGGCTAACGCTTTAACACGCAGAGTTCTGTGTACTAAGAGAGATATTACCAGCTGAAATCAAAGATCCTTCCAAAAATCATAGGGCATAATAAATTACCATGACCCGAAGCAGACAAAAATTAAGCAAGGAATAAAATAAGGCAAAATAGCTATGAGATTAAGTACAGAATGATCCGAGAAGTAAATGTGAACTTTACGTGACCACGTGAACTTTAAACATATGAATGCGAACACCACTGCTCACACGCTTAAAGCTAAGTATGAAAGCACATGTTGAACACTGAAAAAATACCATTGACACGAATAAAATTAGAAAAACATCATAAAATAATGAGAGACTTACATTCTCAAGTGGTAATTTCTTTGCTTGCTCATTTTCTTGCATAGGGTTCACACGTACCTCTTCGGCATTTATTCTTTTTGGTTGGTTTTGCTTCAACTTCTGTGCCCATGATGTCAAAGATTTACTAAATGATAAGAAACATACACATATACAGTAAGGACCTGCGTCCTTCTCAGTGCAGACATGAAATCAATTTCTTCTTCAGGGTGTAACACAGGCACCAAACCTCCACTGCCTTCCTGCATTTTTGTGAAACAATACAAAGTAATGAATGCTAAAATGTTTTAGGGCTCTTCTTAAAAAGTAAAACAAAACAAACACGAACAAACAAATCACTGAAAGGAAAGGTGCTAATCAACCGCAGCCATAATCAAGATGGCTTTTCTGCACAAAAAAGATTTTTTTGTTTAAAAAAAAAAAAAAAAAAAAGTAGAGAGCTCCATATTTTCAGCCAGGCAACTATTTTTTGGTCTGTTCAAGCAGGTACTGATCAAGACCACAAGATTAAGCTGGAACGTTAATGCAGTGTTTCTTCTTATTATGTTATCAATCTGGTTGTAAAGATGTCAGCTAAGACACACTAAGGATGCCTTCCAATTTCAGAGGATTTGCAAGGATAAGAAAGATCAAAACAAGATATAGAAGGAAACAGAAAAAAAAAGGCAGAAGAGGAGAAACAAATAGAGACATTCTGAAGTTCTTCTCAGAGGTAGACGTGGAACAATTTTCCTGTTTTGTTAAAAAGTGACAGTTCGAAAAACTACATATTGTCCCAGTTTGGCACACACATTGGAAAGAATGAAAAAAGATTACAACTAAAAATTAAAACACCACCACACCAGTTTGGGTTAACTGAACTATTCCACTGTGGTTTGAAACCTTTCTTCCTTCAAATTGAGTTCATAATACAAAACAGAAAGCAGTTTCAAAGAAAAAAAATTTTGTCGTTTTTATAAAAAGGACAATAAAAAAATAATACATACATTATTTCAAAGTTTCCTTAAAAATTTTTTCAAACTGAAAAATGCTCTTGAATCGAGCTTCTCCAGCTCTAAGTTTCCCTGGCAGTCCATGAATTGTGGCTACCCCCCTATGGAACTGTGCAACATGAACCAAATACTGGAATAAATCCCAACAGAAGGTAAGAAGAGAATATACATATTAATGGGGTTATGATCTACCCTATATGCTGAGATAACACAAACCAAACTCTCTCAAGAAAGTGGGTTCTGTGTCTTATTACATACTAGCAAAATGCAAGTTCATTTTTGCAATTCTTTGTTTTCCCAATAAAGTTTTTAGCTCTACAGACTATCAGGAGTTCCCAGGCAACACGCTGCCCACAAGACCTCCGATACTGCTCACAGCCACATGAAGCCACTGTCATTACAGTCCAGTTTGACAGGGAAAGTAATCATTAAATTCTGTGCAACTAGAGAAGTGCTTGGTCAGTATTATTGCCAGATTAGCTAGCCAATCTTTAAAAAAAATAAAATCTTGGTAGACCCACCCACCTGTTGACTAGAGCAAAACAAACAGTGATCAACCAAAAAAAAAAAAAACAGCAGAAAAACCCAAACATGTTTGGCTGTTGTCTGATACAATTTATAATGCATGGATACAAGCTGGCAAAAAAAGACTGGTTGAGCACAACAGCAAAATATAGGTCATCTAAAATTGGTAATCAGCACCTAAAATTCTGGTGCACAGATAAACACTACATGCAAATTGCATCTTAGCTCATATCTGCAGAAAAAAGTAGATTTTTATATTTTCCCCAGCGTATCTACAGCAGATAAACACTGCAGATGCAAATAAGCATCACGCAGAAACATCAGGCCAAACAAATAAATTTCTCTATCAAGCAGCATAGTATTTTTTATAATCAAGAGGTTCCATTCAATTCTTGCATGTTTCCAGCTACCAACAGCTGTTTACTGAATGGGGACTGTCTACAATGAATCAATGTATTTGGAAAAACTGTGCCACTTACCTGGGTTTTTTTCCACATTGAGTTTTGTCAACTTTATGTTCAAATTCAGCAGAAAAAACTAAAGTATCATTCCTTCCCGATAAATGATTTTCACCGATTCTGGGGGGGGGAAGTTCTCTTTTGTTTTGAACACTGGCTACAACTGTGTCACTCTGCAATACTGCTGCATCGCCCTGTCCTGGTGAAGTTTTCTCCATGTAGTCTGCGCACTTGGTAATGTCGCTGGATGGGCTAGGGTTCAGTTCGGAGGCAGAAAGCGTACCATACCCACTATTCATTGAAGCATCGTTTGCAGAACACTCCTGATGCAGATCAGATGCGTTTGGCTGACTTTCTGCTTCGTTAGATCTAAGCTGATTGACAACACACTCATTTTCTTCAAAGACTTCAGCACGCATCCCCATTTGACTTCCTAGTGATGAAAAAGCGTCTGTAGGCTTGGCAGGCAAACTTCTGCTCTTGCCGGCACCCCAACTGCCGGTCTGCAATGTCACTAACTGCCTTATCTCATCCTGAATCAGCTACAGGAAAACAAAAGGCAAAATTCCTATGAGATCGTGCCACAAACCACAGTTACATTTTGATGCCTCTTCAGTTTGTGTAATTAGTGAATCAGAGTACTTATTTGAAATAACTCAAATTTTTCAGTGTCGACATCTCATGCATAAAGTAGATATACGCATACTGTGCATAACAGTAAAATGTCCATGGTAACAATCCTTAGTTCCATGCAATGAATTGCAGGTCTCAGTAGCCATTTATTAATGTAAAACACACATGCATGCTTGTATTCACTACATGCCTTCAGAACTACAGTTACCTACCAGCCAGCTAAAGAAATATAAACCATCTGTGTATGTCATTGCAAGTGGACAAAAGTCTTTTGCTAAATTTAGGTCTAAAAGAATTTATAACTCAGATACACATTTTTAAAGATTGCAAGGATGCTTTAACGAAAGTATAAACCATTACTCTGTTACGCTAATAGGAATATTGTACCTCTGTAAGATTATTTGCATAAAACTTGACTTTAAAACATCTGATTTAGAGAATACGTAATTAGGTAGTTCTTATAATACAAAGATCACTATTTTAATTATTTTGGTGTCTGATGGAGTGGAGCAAACCTATAACTAGATTTAACAGGTTACTTTCTCTTTAGTCTACAATGTCTGCAATGAGTTATTTCAGTGTATTAGATAAGTAATATTTGTTTAAAAAGTTTTACAGTTGTACACTGGCATACCGAAACAGCTCTGAGAAACAATCAGTGCTTTTGTCAAGCGTACGAAAAGACTTCACGCGCCCATGGCTGTGTCCTTTGGCCAGCGATCAGCACTGCTGCAGAGTTGTACTGCGATTACCGAACTCTGCATGACATGAGCACACAACTCTTCTTACCAGACCGGAGTATATAGTTGTTTTCAAGAATACATTTCAAACTAATTCCCTCAGGGGGAAGAAGAAAAAAAAAAAAAAAGAACTTGCAATAATTTTAAGAACATGGAACTCTAATATTTTTTCACAGAACTACAACAGGACGTTACTCACATACAAATAGCAAGTGGAAAGCACAAATTGAACAAAAGTTATTTGTTCTCTGAAAGTAAGAAATAAAAAAAAATGACTTAATTTCAGAGGAACCTACATGTAAAACTAGTCAGAACAAAGCCTCATATGTTTTACTAACTTGCAACAGAATTAACAATTGAATTTCAGCTCAGTCTTTCTACAGGGGAAAAAAAAACACCCACCATGAAACAAACAAACAAAAAAAAACAAACAAAAAAACTCCAAACAAATAGGGATGATGTTTTCTGCCATAACAGAGTTTTTTTTTTTGTTGTGCTAATGATTTCAATTATGACTGCAGCAATCATTTGCATTTTAATTCTGTGATTCAATTCTTGTTGAGGAAGGTAGGGAAGGGAGAACAAAAGGGAAGAAACACAGTTGTGGGGGAAAAAGCCAAACCAATCAGATTCTCTGCTGACATTCAATCCTTGTCATTAATACATTGTGCAGGAAAAGAGAAAGGGTACTACTACAATTAAATAGTGTTTTTACTTCTCTTTGCATAGTCACAAGTAATTTCTAGAGAAGAAAAGACTTGGGAAAAATAAGATTACATTTCTGTAGTTTTGGGATTGTAGGTAACTTTTTTTTTATTAATCTTCTTCAATAGTCTGATCTTAGGATGATCCACAGGTGGTGACAGCTTGTCATTAGCACACGTGTCTTCTCGTGTATAAATCACATAAGCCATGGACCGACTGATTCCATAACGAACTCAAGGTCTTTTGATCCATATTTTCACATGGATGAAGCTCTATATTTATAAGCACAGCTGGTCTTTAAACACAGCATAGGGCAGGCCTTATCTGAGTGTCATGCCAATGCTAACGGAGTATCTTGCTTTGCTTCCCCAAAAAGCAGATTAGCATTTTTGTCTTTTTATTACTCTTATTAGAATGTGTTGAGTCGCCTGTATTTCAATATTTTCACTAGGTCACTGGCATACCACTTTAAGTTTGGAATAGCTCCATCTATTTTATCTAATGCACTCATACAAATGAAAGTAAGTTAGAGCTGTTGATTTTATACTTCGTGTGGCAATTCATGCAGTCATTAAGTCCCTGCCAACACCACAAACTCAACTCTTCCAGAGGTAGCCTTTCCTACTAAGAAAGACAAAAACCAGCAAAGCCAACACAATGGATTAGTCAAAACTACAATTAGCAAACAGTGACTCAAACCACTACAGTAAAAGGAAGGAAATACAAGGGTAAGGAAACACTGGTGGGACAAAATTTTTGAAAAAAGTGTGGGACAAAAAATGAGGAGGTGGGGGGGGGGGGGGGGGAAAGGCAGAGGAGAAACAGAAGATAGGATAAAAGAACAGTACCTCTTGTTAATTCAGTTCAGGAACTGTTGATTACTACTAGTGTAGAGGGCATCAGGAAAGGGAAGGGAAAAACAGCAACCAAAATGATGAAGATATTAAGCTTTACATATTATAGAATTACTGTCTCATATATACATATACATCTCTTGTTTTAATGGGTAAATACGCTTCAGCAAAAAGGTGAATCTTCACGTGGATCATTCTTCATTCTTAGAAAGGAGAGTACTCAACTGAAGGGTGAAATAAGTGTACAGCTATCACAGTGAATGTTTTCCTATGCTATACACTGTCTAAATGAGGGAATGACAACTTGCAGAACATTTTCTAATGAAGAGAAAGCTACAATGTCTCAAAATTAGAAATGACACAGTCTAACAGCTAATAAAAAAACACAGCTTGTACCTACAAAATCCAATTATCGCGTGGGCATTCTGAACCAAATGTGCGTGAAAAACAGAACAACTGAAAACAAATAATCCAAGAATCTTTACTTCTAAAATGGTTCCTACCAGTTACTTTGTTAAGTAGCCAAGGCTATCTTAAATATGCATCCTGTAAATCAGCATTCCAGTCATCCACTTCCATTAACTGCCTGTCTGAATAAATTTACAGAAAACCAGAGGAGTGCCAGAGACCACACTGCACGGTTTTGGAGGTGGGGGTAGTAGATTAAAGAAACATTCAGCCTAAGCTACCTCCATAAACAGATCATTACTTACTTGGATTTGATGGTGGAACTGCTCTTGCTGGGCAACTATTTGTTCTTGACATTGTTTTTCTACCAGCCTCAATAACTGTAGCCACCTTGTCTATTAAATCACAAAGCAAAATAATTAAAGCACAGTCATGTTGCATCTCTTACCTTTTACTCTCGCTACACGTGGTTTTGTAGTCTTATATGTAGGTTTTGACATAATAAAAAGCTCAGTAACAGCACATGGTTGTCCACATACAGACCCCTATGATGTCAACCAATGGAAACAATTCGTTAGGGACACAGTCACTTAAAAAAAACAGGTCCTTCTAGACAGCCAGATGATACATCTCTTCAATTTAAGTTTGGTTTCAAAAACAAAAAACCAAACAAAAACCCCAAACAAATAAACAAGGGAAGAGAGTTGCTCTATTTAAAAAAAAAAAAAAAAAAAAAATCAAACTACTTAAAAGCAGAAACGGCTGGCCGGAAGGTACCATCAAATTCTGGAAAGCTTGATTCTAGTTCAATAAAATATAGGTAATTTTAAAATCTATAATTATACACCCCTATGTTCAGTGAACCATTTGCTTCAATAAGAAACTCTTCCCTTCAACAATCTAGCTACAGGCCATGATGCACAAGCATTCAGCTAAAACAAAAAGGTAATTTAAAAAAAAAAAAAAATCAAATACATGGGGTTCCTAAAATATGATAAAATCTGAATTTAAAAAAGTATTTTATGCTAATGTTTATGGAGCCTGATACTTGAAGCATAGGACATGGGACATAGAATGCATGTGCCTAGACACAGACATCTATATTCTTTTCTCAGAGCTGTTAAAGAGCACCAAATTAAGCATCTGTCAAGACAGTTTGATGGACCACAGCCAGAAAGCTGAAAAATTCTGCAAGAAGCAGCTCATGGTGTGGAAACCCGATGTTCCTCATGAAACTAAAAACAAACTATAAGATTTAAAATAAAAAGGGACAAAAACAACATTAAAAAAAAGAATTTGAGAGAATTAGCTCATTGAACCTACATTATGACTTTTATGCTGTTTTAAATCTGGAAACAAACTTATCATGTACACATCTTTACAAATGGAAAAAGTAAATAATTCAACTAAAACAGAGCTATTTTTTATTTTAAAAACTTCCAATTTCTAGGATCACTTCAGACCAGTCTGAAGTGCTACAATTTTAAAGGTTTAAATTTTTCAGTTCAAAGACTTGCAATCTTTAAGTACTGTAACTTTGGGAAAGAAGTTTGCATCTGTATTGTAAAACACTAAGATAAAAAGCTAAGATCTTGTACAAAGCTAAGATAAAACTTCAGTAAAATCCATCCATGTGATTAGTTTATACATTGTAAAAGATTTGTGCCATCACGAAGAATAGACACATACATAGTTCTTACTGCTAAACTATACCAATATACGATCCGTCCTCAAAAATGCAAAGCTGATACATTAATTATTTTTTTTTTAATAAACCTTAGCATCAAATACCTCGCAGTTCTTCACAATTTCCGAGTCAGCATTTCCAGTGTTCTGGATATCTTGCACAAAGGAGGCAAACAGCTCAACAGAACCAGGCATTAATGAGGACCTGGCCTTCCCTGAGTAACCCGAAACTCCATTGGGATTGGACGCGGGACTTCTAGTGAAACATGAGGAAAACACATTTCAATTATT